CCCCCGACAGCAGATGGAAGCTTTTTAAGAACTAATGAGTTTAAATAAACTTTAACTAACGGCAAAAAAAAGCAAGCACTTTTAATGGGTTGTTTCATCCTCTCGCACCTAACAAAACCCTTCTGTTCCAGGGCAGGGCGCGGGGTACAGGGAAAGTGTCCTGCCGTTACTAGGCTCCCTCCGTTTGACTGACAGCCTCGTGCAGGGACGAGGGATTTGCATTCCCCGCCAGCCTTGCACCTCCACGCATGCAGATGGGAGCCGGTGTGCAGAGAATACTATTCAGCGTGAGCCCAGACCTCTCGCCTGTCTGCCTGCCCCGGCTGCGCTGCCAGGAAGCAAGAAAGCTGACTTAGCCTGTTCTGACTTTTTAGCCCTTTTATCCTCCCAGCCTTTGGAGATTTACGCTGCTGCCCTTTGCTTGGCAGAATTATGAAAGTACGATGTTCCTTAATTTTCAGTCTCCGAGCTGCTCTTTAGCTCCCAGAAGCTGGCAGCTGGGGAGATTTCCTATTTAAACATGGGGAGCTACATTAGCAACCCCAGTTGCCCTTGCAATGAAAAAGACTCTGGGAATTATGGCAGTATTAATCATTTAGCCTCCCCACCCCCCCAGTTTGTCTGGTTAAGATCAAATTCTCAGTTTATTTTCTGGTGTGTGCTAATGTACTCAGATCTTTCATCGTCTCTCCTCTCCCTTCCCCTCCAGGAAAGCAAATCTTCCCCCCCTGCCAATTTTTTGTGGGTTCTGGTCAACACCCCTTTGTTTTGTTTCTCTTTTCCATTAACTATCCACGAATGTGCTGGGCTTTCGAACGGAGCCAGTGAAAGATTGGTTATTGGCAGCCCAGCAGAAGAGTCTTGAAAAGCAGCTGTCGATGGGGAGTTGTCATCAAGGGAGCGTTTCTGGTGGGGTTTTGTGAGGACTGGGTCTTAGACCTGATGCCATTCAATGTTATCAGTGATCTGAGAGCAGATGTAAAATCCCTGCTGACTTCAGCCATCTGGAGCTTCTCCTTGCGTGTGCTCATCAGTCGCTATATGAGGAGGTCACGGCATTGCGGTCCGTTCACAGTTACAGGTCACAGCCATGTTCTTGTCAAAATATTCACGGCGTCCGGTTCACTCCAGCCACCCAGCGTACAGACTTCAGCAAACGCGATTGGCAGAAGGGACTGCAGCCCCACGTTCAGGGAACACTGAGTAGTTAAGCACACCCTAAGGAAAAAATGCAGCCCTAAAAGTAACCGGTGCCAGTACATTGCCCAGGTCAAGTCACCAGTCTTGGCGGGGCAGCATGCATCCCAATGGGTTAGAATTGCAAGGGAGCAAGGGCGCGTAATTATCTTGCCATCTGCTGACGCACCACGGATGTCTGCCCATTGTTGGGTACGTAAGAGCAGCAGTTTTAGCTCCCTGGAGAAATGGCTGATAACATCTAAGCAGTTGAGTGGTGGGAGAAGGAGCTTATTCATTAGCTTAGGGGTTGACGACTGACAGCCCTCAGAGCCGCTGGGTCCAGCCCATAGGGACTTCACCTGCCCCACGGCTCGGTGGTGGCAGCGGGTCCTAGCACTGGCCTTCCTCAGACCCTAGCTGGCTCAATTTGTTGTGAAAAGAGTGCCATCAATTTGATATGACATCAAGGGCATCGTACATTTGCAGATGAGAGCTGGGCAGAATTGTTAGTGATGATAGAGACAGAATATCCACAGTGTGATTATTTGGTAAAATGGGCATTTAATGGCCATCTAGGAACATGCCGTGCTTACAAAATGGGGAAGCTGTACCCTGGAAAGCTGGGACTCGGGAAATAATTTCAGGGTCACAGTGAACAGGAGCTGCCAGTGAAATGCTGTGGCTCTAAGGGCTAATGTGGACCTGTGTTGGATAAAGAGGGCTGTATTGACTAAGAGGATAGGGTTGAGACTGATGTGGAGTATTGAGTCCGGTTTTGGTGCCAGCATGTTAAAAAGGATGGTATAGAACTGGGAAGTAGAAAAGAGCCACACAAGTGATTTGGGGACTGGAGAAAATGCCTTTCAGTGAGTAAATTAAGAGCTCAGTTGTAGCTTGTCAAAAAGAAGATTGAGAAATGACTTGATTACAGCATATAATCACCTTTGTGCAGAGAACAACTGCGTACTAAAGAGCTCTTTAGTATGAGAAAGATAAGGAGAGCCAATCCCTGGAAGCTGAAGTCAGGCAAATTTAAATGAGAAACTGGGGACAGTCTTAAATTAGGGCAATTAGTCTTTAGAACAAACGAGCAGGGTAAGCAGTGGTTTATCCAGTTCTTGATGGTCTTCACATCAAGGCCTTTGTTGAAATTCAGCTTCAGCCATGCGTACAAGTTATTGGATTCAGCGCACAGGGAACTGGGTGAAGTGAAGTGTAATGGCCAGTGAATACAGGAGTTCACACTGGATGATCTGGTGGTCCCGTCTGGTCTTTGACACGATGAATGTGGTTGCTGCCAGCCCAGCTGCTTTAATCAGTACCCAAGAAGTGATGCAAACTCCAGCTGGTGCCATGAATTTGATTTTGTGACTCCCTAATCTAGGCTGAAACACCTAGGTTGCTTCGTAACAGCTTTAACCTGCCTGTGATAAAACCCTTCTCAAGAAGCTGCTTGGAGGGCCGCACGCATGCTGTAGAAATACAGCACAAACTCATGGGCTATTGTTACCGTCTTTGCTACCAAAGCAGGGTGGCTTGTACTGGGAACTGCATAAGGAGTATCAAAAACCTTTGCCTTGATTGAATAACCATTTAAGATGTATTTGTTTTCACTGCTGCCTGATTTGAACTAGTTATTAACCGGGCAAGTTGGATTAGCTGTTCATGTTAGTGTTACAGAGTGCTTACCATAGCCTTGGCATGAAAGAAATGTGTGCGTATAGCAGGCCGGATTAATCATTGGTGGAAATCAATGGATGAATTTAGTCCTTTGTGATTAACATAAGCTGGTGTGAGCAACTGTAAGACCCTTTAGGCTGAAGGTTTGTGCAACAAGCTGTCACTGCCATCATTCTTCTTGCTTTTTGCTATTTAAGGCCCTGTATAAATACCATCATTTGTTATAAAATAGCCAGGAGCTTCCATAGTGCATAGAGAAAGTGTTGCTATAATTGATTCTTTTTTTCCTTGGCGAGTCTGGTTTAAGGCCACCTAAATTTAGTTCAGAAGATGGTAATAAGAAAGCAGGATGATGAAGGAAGTGGGAAATGGATATCCATACTTGGCTGCCAGTAGGTGTGGTCTCCCATCCAGCAAAATTTCCCAACGTTTCTTAGAATATTTCCTACTCCACCTCCAAAAAGAAACCAAGTGGTGATTGGGGTACTGGTTTGGGGTATGGAAGACCCTATGTTCAAGTCCCTGGTCTGAATGAGGGGGGATTCGAACCCGGGTTTCCAATATCCCAAGTGAGTTCCTTGATGGTTGGACTTAGTGTTCCCCTCTTTCTCCCCCACCACGAGATAAATCTTTTCTGGTACTAATGTCCATAACCCTTTCACCCCAAGAAGTATTTGTTTGGATGAATCCTTATTTTTCCAACTGGAAATAGCTTCTAAAGATTCCTGGCCAGCTTTGGTCCTGAATAACATTAACATTACCAGGTAAGTGCAGTTTGCCCTGACTACAAAGGATGTTCTGCTAAGGTCCCGGACTCAAACAGCGAGTGTCACCACTCCTGTGTCACAGTTGTAGCACTTTGCTGCTCTGTAAGGCCATTTGCGTGAGAGTGGCAACATGCCCTAAGACCCCATCCTTCAGAGGAGGAAGCCGGGACACGGAGTTAGGTCGCTCATCCAGAGCATCGCAGTGAGTCGGTGGCAGGGAAAGGAATAGAAAAAACGAATGGCTGCTCATTTCTAATCATGGACCACATAATGCTCTTCAAAAAAGAGGTGTTTAGATCGAGTCGACACAGCTTTCTCAGTGGCAGCATCTCATGAACCCTTGCAGTTCCTCAAGTTTACAAGTTATTTACTCAGTAGGCGTCAGACAAGTGATAGGGAATCAAAACAGTGATGCTCCTCTTTAATTCTGTAGATGCTTTTAATAAATGTCTCCTTTGTAGTTTAAAGAAGCGTCATTTTTACATTGTCTGAATATATGATTGTTCTTTTGTAGGACCGGCAGAGGAGAAACAGCCCAGCCGTGATGAGAGAGACTGACATTTATTCAAGTATCTTCCAGCTCGTTGTCAACGATGGCTGTCACTTCTGCATACTCGTTGGATGGTGATGCAGCATGTCAAGAGCAATGGTACAGGTTGCCTTGATGCCATTGTGCATGTTTTGTTCTCCTTGGGACTTCATATTGCCATGACAACACAGTGACACCACTAGGAACAGCCAGCTAACGGAGATCAAGAGGGAAGTTCAATGACTGTTCCTAATAGGATCCAAGGTTGCATTTGCAACAAAAGGGCCCTGAGCAGCCATCTCCACAGCGAGAAGATGAAATTTCCATTCTATTGGCCCTTTATCAAGAAGGCACAATAACATTTCCTTCTAAAGACTTGCTAATAAAAACTGTTTTGGTTATGGCTACTGATCCAACGTGATTGAGCGTCCACCGACTCTCGGACTCATGACTGGATATACGATGTTGCGAAATGGGGGAGTGGGGAATGGAGGCCAACCCTGGATGTTACGATGGTCCAGTCGGATCCGGCTCACCTGGCTTAGCTTCACCCTGTTCGTCATCCTCGTCTTCTTCCCCCTTATTGCCCACTACTACCTAACCACCATTGACGACGCAGATGATGCCGGCAAGCGCATCTTTGGCCCCCGCACGGGCAATGAGCTGTGCGAGGTGAAGCATGTCCAGGACCTGTGCCGCATCCGCGAGTCGGTCAGCGAGGAGCTGCTCCAGCTGGAAGCCAAGCGGCAGGAGCTCAACAGCGAGATCGCCAAGTTGAACCTGAAGATCGAAGCCTGCAAGAAGAGCATTGAAAACGCCAAGCAGGATCTCCTGCAGCTGAAGAATGTCATCAGCCAGACGGAGCATTCCTACAAAGAACTGATGGCTCAAAACCAGCCAAAGCTCTCCTTGCCAATCCGGCTGCTGCCAGACAAAGATGACGCTAACTTCCCTTTGCCAAAATCCAGCAGGAACTGTAGACTGCACAACTGCTTTGACTATTCACGCTGCCCGCTGACATCTGGCTTCCCTGTGTACGTCTACAACAGTGACCATTACCCTTTCGGAAACTCCTTAGACCCTTTAATTAAGCAGGCCTTTGAGGCGACGGTCAGAACTAATGTTTATGTGACTGAAAATGCAAACATTGCTTGTGTGTATATAGTCTTAGTGGGGGAGCTACAGGAGCCCATAATGCCAAAACCTACTGAACTAGAGCAACAGTTGCACTCTTTGCCATATTGGAGGACTGATGGACACAACCATCTGATCATTAATTTATCAAGAAAGTCGGAAACACAGAACTTTATCTATAACATTAGCACAGGGCGTGCCATGATTGCCCAGTCCACCTTCTACGACGGACAGTATCGGCCAGGGTTTGATATCGTGGTATCGCCTTTGGTCCATGCAATGTCTGAACCCAACTTCTTAGAGATCCCACCCCAGGTGCCAGTCAAGCGAAAGTACCTGTTCAGTTTCCAAGGAGAGAAAATTGAATCTCTCAGATCCAGCTTGCAAGAGGTTCGCTCGTTTGAGGAGGAAATCGAAGGCAATGCCCCAGCTGACTATGACGATCGGATCATTACCACCTTGAAGGCTGTCCAGGACAGCAAATTGGACTTTGTCTTGGTGGAATTCACCTGTAAGAACCAGCCTAAGGCAAGTCTGCCCACTGAGTGGGCTCTTTGTGGAGAAAGGGATGACAGGCTCGAGCTACTGAAGCTATCTACTTTTGCACTGATAATCACCCCGGGGGACACTCATCTGGTGATCTCTGCTGGGTGTGCCATGAGACTCTTTGAGGCTCTGGAAGTCGGAGCCATCCCAGTGATTCTTGGAGAGCAAGTTCAGCTGCCCTATAACGATGTGATCCGGTGGAACGAGGCAGCCTTAATAATACCAAAGCCACGTATCACAGAAGTGCACTTTCTTTTGAGAAGCATTTCTGATAATGATCTCCTTGCCATGAGGAGGCAGGGCCGTTTCTTGTGGGAGACCTACTTCTCCACCTCTGATAACGTGTTCAGCACAGTCTTGGCCATCATAAGGACTCGAATCCAAATCCCAGCAGCTCCTATTCGAGAAGAAACTGCAGTGGAAATCCCACACCGGTCTGGCAAAGCTGCCGGTACGGACCCCAACATGGCAGACAATGGAGACTTGGACCTGGGGCCTGTGGAAACCGAACCACCCTATGCGTCTCCCAAATACCTTCGCAACTTTACCCTCACAGCAATGGATGTCTACAGGAATTGGAATTCAGCTCCGGGACCTTTCCACCTCTTCCCCTACACGCCCTTCGACCCTGTTTTACCTTCAGAAGCTAAATTTCTAGGGTCTGGAACTGGATTTCGACCGATCGGAGGAGGAGCAGGTGGTTCTGGGAAAGAGTTCCAGGCTGCGTTGGGCGGCAATGTCCCCCGGGAGCAGTTCACGGTAGTCATGTTAACCTATGAGCGAGAGGAAGTCTTAATGAACTCCCTAGAGAGGCTCAATGGACTCCCTTACTTAAATAAAGTGGTGGTAGTGTGGAACTCTCCCAAGCTCCCTTCTGAAGACCTGTTGTGGCCAGACATTGGCGTCCCGATCATGGTAAGAAGGACCTGAATACTCCATATTATCTGACCTTTACAACGGGGGTATAACTTCTTCTAGAGGTGTTTTTGGGGGTGTTTGGTTGTAGCCGTGTTGGACCGAAGGACGTAGGCAGATGAGATTTATTTGGGCAGATGTGATATCTTTTACTAAACCGACTGAACAGTCGGAAAAATTGTTCTTTGCAAGCTTGCGCACCCTCCTTCAAGCGTAGGGAGAGTCTCCTGGTGTTTGTCTTCTCTCTGGGGGTCTAATAGATGTTTAAGCCGATATGCAAAATGCAGGTCTGTGAAAATGCAAATGTGTGGCAGGGATGATCAAAGGGGGTAGGAGTTAATGGGTGTGAGACAGGTAGGTGGGGCGGGGGGAAACAAAAGAGGGGAATGTCGGCAGGTGATAAAATGTAGCTGGCAAAATCTAGAGAGGTTACCTGGGGTTATTGGATGGCAGGAAGGTTATAATGTGCCATAAATCCAAAGTCTGTATTTAGTCCATTGTTTTTTTTTTTTAATATCCATTAGATTGTTGAAGTGAAGTTCGTAGTCTCATCCATGAAAGGTGTTTTGATATTACCATCAATTTATGTTTTGTGGGGCGGGGATTGGTTTTCTGCAGCTGTTAGGCTGCTTGGCCTATTCACCCAATGGCATGACTAAATCCGTTGTTAGATGCAGGGCTTCACAATGCAAACTGAGGATTGAGATTTTAAAACACAAAGGAGCCTAACATCCAGTTCTTAGAAAACACGACCTGCTTCTCAGAAGTGCTCGGCACTTGGGAGCTGCTGGATGTTTTGAAAAGCAAGTTGTGTGCTGAAGAACCCAAAGTTATTTTTTTTTAAATTCTTAGGCTGCTTGTTCAGTGCTGCCGTTTTACGGTGGTTGGCATTGTAGAGCTGTTGTTACTGGCTCTTTCCTACTGCCTGTTCCTAAATGTTTTACCTGACACATCACGTATTAAAACAAAAAGAGAGGAAAGATCCAAAGCAAATAAAGGTGTGCAGTGGGTGGGGTGTCCAGTGCCCTGACGAACTTTACCATCGACTATTACAAGGGCTCGTGGATGAACCATATGAGACAAAACATACAGGAGATGTATGTGACCGTTAGAGCTTCTCCATGTTTTTGGAAGGGTTTTCCCCTCCTCTAAATTAAAGAAATTATATTCTTAAGGACCTAAATGCTTCATAGGTTGCAGCTACCAAAGTAGCTCTCAGCTGTGTTGCCATGGAATTAAATGCTGCTGTCCCAATGACAGTTTCCCTTTATGTCTGTCTGCCTGTCTGTCTCATAGAATAATAGAAAATGAGGGTTGAAGGGACCTCAGGAGGTCACATCTAGTCCAGCCTCCTGCCCAAAACAGGACCAGCCCCAACTAGATCACCTCAGCCAGGGCTTGGTTGAGCCGGGCCTTAAAAACCTCCAGGGATGGAGAATCCACAACCTCCCTGGGGAGCCTGTTCCAGTGTTTTACTACCCTCCTTTTGAGAGAGTTTTTCCTAATATCCAACCTCAACTTCCCTTGCTGCAGCTGGAGCCCATTGCTCCTTGTCCTGCCATCTGCCCCCACTGAGACCAGTCCAGCTCCATCCTCTTCGCAGCCCCCCTGCAGGGAGGTGAAGGCGGCTATTCAATCCCCCTCAGTCTTCTCTTCCCCAGACTAAAT